TATGTCATAGACCTGTTTGCCCTCCTTTTTTATACTATTTTAGAATTGCAGATACATAAATGCCACAGACGGTCCCCACACTCTGCACTGCTAGCCTTACAACTTCCTTTCCCATTTCCTACGTCATGGACCTGTTTTCCTCCCTACCATTACATTTTAGGATTGCAGATACCTTAATTTAATCGTCATAAGCAGTTCCCACACTCCAGTCCAGACTGCTCGCCTTTACTACTTCCTTCACCACTTCCTATGTCGTGGACCTGTTTTCCTCCCTTTCCATAGCATTTAAGGATTGCAGATACCGTAATCTAATCGTCATAAACAGATCCCACACTCCACACTGCTACCCTTGACTATAGAATCTAGTAATCTTCAGTATAATCTTTGCTCAATAGTAACAACTGATGTTTTTCCTTTTGTACTGTATTTTGTTTTGCTAGTGTACTGTGGATAGACAAATTACAAGTCTTTTGTTTACTTTTTTCTTGTTATTTAATTCAGCCAACATGGTTACCTAGCAACCCATAAGACTAATGTTAAAAAAATTTGATTTTTAGTTTCATTTTTCTACGTATTTAGATTTTTGTTGGCAGTTCTAACTGCAGTAAACTCGTTTTTAGGCCAGAAATAAACTATTTACAACATTTGAAGAAAATCGTCGGAGCCGTTTTCGAGATCTTGGTACAAGCAAGCATACATACATACAAATATTGCTCGTATTAGAGTATAGGATACTCCTTAAAAATAATCAAAATTTATCGAGCCAAGTTTGAAATATAATTTTTTTTAAATCTGTAACTTAGTAGTCTAATAAATGGCAGGTTCAACTTCTACCTCATACAGAAACCATCATAAGCATTGAATGGGCTTGCCATTTAATTATGACACGTGTATACGTGTAAATAACATACTCCATAAAAATAATCAAAATTTATCGAGCCAAGTTTGAAATATAATTTTTTTTAAATCTGTAACTTAGTAGTCTAATAAATGGCAGGTTCAACTTCTACCTCATACAGAAACCATCATAAGCATTGAATGGGCTTGCCATTTAATTATGACACGTGTATACGTGTAAATAACATACTCCTTAAAAATAATCAAAATTTATCAAGCCAAATTTGAAATATATTTCTTTTTATCTGAAAAATAGGTAGCTCAGTAAGGAGCAGGCCTAATTTCTACCACATATAGCAACCATCATAAGCATCGAATGGGCTTGCCATTTTTTTATAACATGTGTAAACGTGTGAAGAACATACTCCATAAAAATAATAAAAATTTATCGAGCCAAATTTGAAATATAATTTTTTTATCTGAAAAAAACCGTAGCCCAGTAAGGAGCAGGCCTATCTTCTACCACCTATAGAAACCATCATAAGCATTGAATGGGCTTGCCATTTAATTATGTCACGTGTATACTTGTAAATAACATACTCCACAAAAATAATCAAAATTTATCGAGCGAAATTTGAAATATAATTTTTTTCTTCTGAAAAATCGGTAGCTCAGTAAGGAGCAGGACTATCTTCTACCAACTATAGAAACCATCATAAGCATTGAATGGGCTTGCCATTTACGTATGACATGTGTATACGTCTAAATAACATACTCCATAAAAATAATCAAAATTTATCGAGCGAAATTTGAAATATAATTTTTTTCTTCTGAAAAATCGGTAGCTCAGTAAGGAGCAGGACTATCTTCTACCACCTATAGAAACCATCATAAGCATTGAATGGGCTTGCCATTTAATTATGTCACGTGTATACTTGTAAATAACATACTCCATAAAAATAATCAAAATTTATCGAGCGAAATTTGAAATATAATTTTTTTCTTCTGAAAAATCGGTAGCTCAGTAAGGAGCAGGACTATCTTCTACCACCTATAGAAACCATCATAAGCATTGAATGGGCTTGCCATTTAATTATGTCACGTGTATACTTGTAAATAACATACTCCATAAAAATAATCAAAATTTATCGAGCGAAATTTGAAATATAATTTTTTTCTTCTGAAAAATCGGTAGCTCAGTAAGGAGCAGGACTATATTCTACCAACTATAGAAGCCATCATAAGCATTGAATGGGCTTGCCATTTACGTATGACATGTGTATACGTCTAAATAACATACTCCATAAAAATAATGAAAATTTATCGAGCCAAATTTGAAATATAATTTTTTTATCTGAAAAAAACCGTAGCCCAGTAAGGAGCAGGCCTATCTTCTACTACCTATAGAAACCATCATAAGCATTGAATGGGCTTGCCATTTAATTATGTCACGTGTATACTTGTAAATAACATACTCCATAAAAATAATCAAAATTTATCGAGCCAAATTTGAAATATAATTTTTTTCTTCTGAAAAATCGGTAGCTCAGTAAGGAGCAGGACTATCTTCTACCACCTATAGAAACCATCATAAGCATTGAATGGGCTTGCCATTTAATTATGTCACGTGTATACTTGTAAATAACATACTCCATAAAAATAATCAAAATTTATCGAGCGAAATTTGAAATATAATTTTTTTCTTCTGAAAAATCGGTAGCTCAGTAAGGAGCAGGACTATCTTCTACCAACTATAGAAACCATCATAAGCATTGAATGGGCTTGCCATTTACGTATGACATGTGTATACGTCTAAATAACATACTCCATAAAAATAATCAAAATTTATCGAGCGAAATTTGAAATATAATTTTTTTCTTCTGAAAAATCGGTAGCTCAGTAAGGAGCAGGACTATCTTCTACCACCTATAGAAACCATCATAAGCATTGAATGGGCTTGCCATTTAATTATGTCACGTGTATACTTGTTAATAACATACTCCATAAAAATAATCAAAATTTATCGAGCGAAATTTGAAATATAATTTTTTTCTTCTGAAAAATCGGTAGCTCAGTAAGGAGCAGGACTATCTTCTACCACCTATAGAAACCATCATAAGCATTGAATGGGCTTGCCATTTAATTATGTCACGTGTATACTTGTAAATAACATACTCCATAAAAATAATCAAAATTTATCGAGCGAAATTTGAAATATAATTTTTTTCTTCTGAAAAATCGGTAGCTCAGTAAGGAGCAGGACTATCTTCTACCACCTATAGAAACCATCATAAGCATTGAATGGGCTTGCCATTTAATTATGTCACGTGTATACTTGTAAATAACATACTCCATAAAAATAATCAAAATTTATCGAGCCAAATTTGAAATATAATTTTTTTCTTCTGAAAAATCGGTAGCTCAGTAAGGAGCAGGACTATCTTCTACCACCTATAGAAACCATCATAAGCATTGAATGGGCTTGCCATTTAATTATGTCACGTGTATACTTGTAAATAACATACTCCATAAAAATAATCAAAATTTATCGAGCGAAATTTGAAATATAATTTTTTTCTTCTGAAAAATCGGTAGCTCAGTAAGGAGCAGGACTATCTTCTACCAACTATAGAAACCATCATAAGCATCGAATGGGCTTGCCATTTTTTTATAACATGTGTAAACGTGTGAAGAACATACTCCATAAAAATAATGAAAATTTATCGAGCTAAATTTGAAATATAATTTTTTTAGAATCTGTAAAAATCGGTAGCTCAATAAGGAGCAGGCCTAACTTCTACCACAAATAGCAACCATCATAAGCATTGACTGGGCTTGCCATTTTATTATAACATGTGTAGACGTCTAAATAACATACTCCATAAAAATAATCAAAATTAATCGAGCCAAATTTGAAATATAATTTTTTTTAGAATCTGTAAAAATCGGTAGCTCAATAAGCAGCAGGCCTAACTTCTACCACATATAGCAACCATCATAAGCATCGAATGGGCTTGCCATTTTTTTATAACATGTGTAAACGTGTGAAGAACATACTCCATAAAAATAATGAAAATTCATTGAGCTAAATTTGAAATATAATTTTTTTAGAATCTGTAAAAAATCGGTAGCTCAATAAGGAGCAGGCCTAACTTCTACCACACATAGCAACCATCATAAGCATCGAATGGGCTTGCCATTTTATTATAACATGTGTAGACGTGTAAATAACATTCTCCATTAAAATAATGAAAATTTATCGAGCGAATTTTAAAATATAATTGTTTTTTTTAATCTGTTAAATCGGTAGTTGGGTAAGGAGCAGGTCTAACTGTTACCACATATAGAAACCATCATAAGCATCGTATGGGCATGCTATTTTATTATCACATGTATTGACTTATAATGTAACATAATCCATAAAAGTAATCTACATAAATCTAGTCAGATGTATGTTTGTAGTGTGAAATGCACTTTGAGGTTAGTGGAAGTAGGCCTACATATCAATGGAATAAAAACAAGTGTTATTAGTGGTCATTGCACTTTATTTCGGCACCGCATTAACATAAAAATGGTATACTAGTAAAACAAACACTTAATAACTGCTCAAAAGGTGTAATTTAAACATAAAATGTATTTGAGGTTAGGAAGTTTTGACATGTGACACATGTGTTTGAGGTTAGAAAGTTTTGATACATGCATTTGAGGTTAGGAAGTTTTGATGCCACGGCCTTCTTGATCTACTGATCTGACGTGACGTCATAGCTTAATGTTGGTTTATTGGCAGTTTCACAGACATCATTAAAGCACTAAAAGCAGCATATTTTGTCTAATTAAACGAACAAACGTGATGACAAGAAAAGCGTTTAGGTACATTGAGACATTAAATAACTTAGTACACCATGAAATCTGTACTAGGGATCGAATGAAACAGCTTAGTCGTAATAAGTTAATATAACATCTAGTATGCTAGGCTACTAGCCTACGTAAGGCATTATAGTTGTTCATGCTCTGTTATTATTATGTATTCGTTATGAATAGGCTTACAAACGCTCGGTAGTTTGTGGCCCTGTTATTTATATATAGATTGACCATTTATTTAACATCACTAAAAGCTTAGTAAATAATTAGTATTTCTAATGTATAAATAATTAGGCCCTTACCACCATTTGGGGTCAGATGTCGATAACCTATAACTTCTCCAAAACTAACTAAACCTAAGTCCTAAACTGACTGATTTTGACACTTTGACACGGAGGACGGAGAGATTGAGATTGGGATTGGGAACAGGCGGAACAGGACTGACTCTCTGACATAGACAGGAATGTTTTGTGATAAAGGTGGCCGTGTTCCGTGTTGTTATTATATCATGGCAACATCCATGGCCGCCCATATCTTACATCTAATAATTAGATTAGATGTAATAATAACATCTAAATTTAAGTGAGTTAATATAGGTTTTTGCACATCAACTATAATAACTCTATTATTAATTTGTCAAATATCAAAGTCAAACAAAAGACATGTGATAATTAATCTTCACAAATAATACAGCAGAAATAAATATATTAATCAATGGTTAAACATATATAGGTATATGAAATTAGTCATTAACATATTTCCCCTCTTTAGGTATGGGTCGCTGTCAATGCGCCACCACGTCAAACCGCCACCTCGGTGTTTTGGTCAGAGGCGTCAACCCGCCACCACAAAAAAACCGAGGTGGCGGGTTGACGTGTATGTATAGGTCAACCCGCCACCTCGACAACAGGCCACCATGACAACCCACCACCATACATTTTTCCGAGGTGGCGGGTTGTCGTACACACTCAAGTCAATGAGCCACCACGACAACATGCCACCACGACTACCCGCCAACACCAGTTTTTATCAGAGGTGGCGGGTTGTCGTGAAGCTCCATGTTCGATGTCGGCAACCCGCCACCACGCACGTAGGCGACAACGCGCCACCCCGTCAACCCGCCACCACTCTTTTACGAGGTGGCGGGTTGACGTGTACGCTCAGTGTTCGGTGCCGTCAACGCACCACCTCGCTCATAGGTGACAACGTGCCACCTCGAAACACACCACCATGCACTCTTGTCGTAAATCGGTTGGATTTATATTCTGTAGCATTAAATATATTGTACGTTGATTCAGTTAAGTTAGAGAAAGTTAATGTAACTCTTAAATAGCATTTCTGGAAATTTTAGTTTATTTTCGGAAGAAAGATTGATAGGTAATACAATTATTAACATGGTGAAAACCCGACATTTGAAAGGGTCTCACGCCCTTAAGGGTAGTAAGTATTAAATTGTAAAATCTTAATGCAAAACTACGAATTGGGCCGAATCTTTTAACACCCTAAACGTTAAAATTTGTCCACAAATAAGGGAGGAGTAGTGTTCACAAAAAACAGCCCTCACGTATTAATATGAGATATGATAATGTATACCAAAAACGAATTATTTTACTTAATTGCTAGTGAATAAACAATGTTTTTTTTTCATTAGGCATATATATATATATATATATATATATAAGTTTTTATGCGCACCTACCACCACGTGCGCACGCCAAATACGTGTGAAAAGCATACATTTTATAAATTTAAACCGGCAGTAGTCAGGGATAGTTGTGCCATATAATGGTGATTGCGAAAGCAAGACGGAAATAAAATTGTATTCACTTGAATTCAAAAGGTAATTCGGGTGAAATGATCGGTATTTAGTCTGTGATTAGACCACGAATACTAGAAAAGACCCGGCATGGATTATAAACACAAACAAAAATGATGTTTAAAAAAATAGTACAACACCCTGTAATAATTATGGTCCAAAAGTTATTGCAGATTTAATGATTTTTAACTATATACTATCACCGCTTTCCCAGGATAAAGGATGTTAACAAGCTTATGGGAGAAAGTATGTTTCAGAATGCTGATACCGTTTATTTTTACACTTGTTTTGTCATTTCTAATGTGTGATATTAAGTAATCGTCCGTGATATGAAATAAATTGAATAACGTATATTGACGCTTTCAATTGGCTGAAGGCCACTGAGGCAGAGTCCTGATGAAATTTCAAAATGTTTTGTTTTATGGCAAATTTACAAGTCACGACCTATCCAACGACACCTTAAACGTTATGATCGGATGTGTAGCAGTTTCAAAACAATGTTCACAACATTTGGGCTGGCCAATTAAATATTTAAATAATGATGATGATTATATGTAGGTAGGTAAATGTATCCTCGACTAAACAATTTTCACAATGTGCAGTATATCGTATCTACATAGGTTAAAATAATATTACTGATTAATTTGAAACTTAATTACGCATCAAGCAGTTTCATTATACAGTATAATACGATTAGATACAAATTTGACATAGGATTATAACCTGAAAAAAAGTCAAAGCCAAAGTCCTTTATTTTTGTTAACCTGATTTTTGTTTTGATAAATAATTGGGGGGTTTCACAAGATAATGACCATTGGTACCATTTTCCTCCGTTTAATAATTGATCAACGCTGTTTGGCGAAATAATATTACATTTGGATGGTAAAAATGTAACTGGCCTAAGCGTTTATTTCAAGTTACGGCCTGATTAATATATGTTGAAGTACAGTGATACTAATTATACTAATATTACAAATGAAAGTTTGTGTGTTTGTTTGGGGTTCAATCACTCAATAACAACTCATTGGGCACATCGGGATTATGCTGAAATTTGGCATGATGATAACACTTTCCTGATTAAAATATAGGCATGTTATTACCTCAAAACTGTTTTCTGCCTTCTGGCCTTTTTGAATCTCTCTCGTATGTATTAAAACAATAGCACAATATGCCTCATTATTGCTAAATCAGGAACGAACCATGAGTTATTACTGGGAAAGTGAACGAAATGCATGTTGTAAAATGTAGACGTGGAAACCTGGTGCAAAGTATTTGGCCTATTGTTTAATATAAACAATCCCATAACCCATACCAGTCAGTACAGCGGGAACTTTAAAGGAAATATAAGGGACAGAATACAGGGGTGTCCCGTTAATCCCCTCGCACGTTTCTAAATTTCTTACATTTTTCTTTCTCATCAAAGTCCATTCCAGTTATTGGGGTGTCGTATCACTCAGGTCAGTTCACTTTCCCGTAGTCCTTTAATTTCCAACCTAAATACTGTTTTCATTTCACGTAGTAATCGCAAAAGAGAACCAAACCAATATTCTGCTGTTGATAAAAATATTCGCAACGGGAAGATGTGCCAAACGTCCATACTGCCTAATCCAAACACTTGTTAAGTATATTGAATTTTTAAACAAATAGCCACCAAATTTTACAAAAAAGTATGCCCTACATTGTAATTGCCCTACTGTTAACATTAAAATATATCAATAACATAATTTTCACAACTTATGGTTATAGAATTTTTCTTCATTTCAATAATCAATGGCATAAATAAACCTACCACATATTGTGTAAATTACATAATGTTTACAATTAACATATGTTCTTCTTCTCACTTTTAATTTCTGACAACAGCTGGAGTTACATAACAATGTCTGTTTCCCATGAATCTTATGGAGAAATACGAAACTTTAAAGGGCCCCAGGGCCTCACCCTAATTATTTCCCTAAAAAGAAAGTTTCCTGTACAACTTCACTTTACGCACTTTCCAAATGACACCAAAAACGTGCCAATCGTTTAGTAGTATCGGAGGAGTAAATGTCACAAAAAACCTGCTTGCGTATTAAATAAGTTCAAAATCCCTCACCTCAGAATTTTGAAAGCCCGTGGAGCAGAGTACTAGTTCAATATCGAAGGGGTAGTTCTATATGTATCCTCGGAGCAGTAGCTTGATTTTTGTCCAATTTGAGTCAAATCGGTTCAGTAGCTTATAGTTTATCTCATACAAACACACTACACAACCTCTTCTTTATAATAGTATAGATAGACATAGTAAATGATAGATGGATAGATAGATGTCATTATTATGTGATTATTGTTATTGTTTAGATTTGATTTGTTTACAAGTTGTACACAGATTTAGTTTAGTTAGTAAAGATACTTTTGTTAAATATGAATCAATTATTTCATACAATTTTCAACAGTACATTAGTGGAATGCCCCGAACCCATTGTGCCCATTGTGTATACTGCCCACAGTGCGCAGTATACATACTCGACGGAGTTCATGTGGCAGCAAGGGGCGGTGACGCATTCAACTAAATCTTCGCCGACACCGCTGCCTTCTGGGAGGCAGAACTCAAAACCCGCTAATTGCAATCATGTCAAATCTGGACAGTAAGGTAATTAAAATAGGTTCTTTCTAATTATGTAGTTATTTTTGGTCTTAGGTAAAAAAATCCCTCTAAAACAAGTGGCCTCCGAATAATAACTAAGTAACGGTAAGGTATTTCCTGAAGCATGAAATGGAATTTCAAGCAGAACATCAAAAATGCAATAAAAATCTTTGTTTAAGATATCTCCTAATGAGTTTTTTGGAATATATCTGTCTGGTATGAACTTCTCTGGGCAATACCCTTGACTCAGAGGTCAAAGTACATTACACGGTTGGGTCGAGTCTAGTTCTGTATCCTTTTTCAAATTCTTCTAAATAGAAAAACAGGTGCGCGCTAGTCCACACAAAGCACATTTTAGTCTGTTGTACTCTATATCAACGATGTATATTTTGTTTTATGTTTTTGGTTGAATGTATTATTATTTTCACCACAATACGGTTTTAAGAGAAAGTATAACCGAACAATACATTTTCATCATTTTTGTTTAGGCCATACACACGTGAATTACAATTAATAAATGAAGTTTTTAGGTAACTTATTTTGTAATGCATTGTCATAATGCTGAAAAAGAAAATAAGTATGGGTATTATACCAGGTGTGCACCTACAAAAAATCATAAGAAACTAATATCTTATTTTTCAAAATTAAGTTTCATGTTTTTGTCTTCAATGAAAATATGCGAAAACATAATTAATATTTTTATTTTAATTCTAGAATGACCCTTAATCGTTAATTTGTATTGAGTTTATCTTAAAATTCTTATAAACAATAACCGTTGATTAAAAGGAAAAGTTGTCTTGCGTGGATGCGTGTACTTTATTTCTATGGCAGATCTAACGATTCGAAAATTATTTTTTTTTTCAATCAATCAAGAAATTTATTTACACAATAATTACCAATACATAGGATACAAAAGTGCAAAAACCACAAATGGTTTGTCTGCACTAAAAATATTGTTTCTTATTTACCATACAGTTTTGTCAGT